GAACGAGGAGTTGGCATCTGGAAAAATGGGTCGTCGTTTCTAGAAGAACGAGCATCCCTGCGTTGAACAAGGTTACTACTCCATCGCTTAAGCTTCATTTGAGTCCCTTTTCTTGCGACTTGAAAAAGCAGCTGCTTTTAAAGAATGTGCGTGGCGCGCGGCGCCGGCGCGGCAGCGGCGGGCGCCAAGGACGCGGTCTCGCAGCTGCTCGGCGCGCCCATGCCGGACTTCAACCCGTACGTCGAGCCGCTCAACCCGGCCGCGCAGTACTCGCTCAAGGACCGCGCCCAGCTCGTCGTTGAGAGCTGCCGCCCGTGGGCAGAGTTTCTCGACCCGCACGCCTTCGCCCCGCCGCCCGCGTCCGAGGCGAAGCTCAGGGTCGGCCATAACGTCGAGGTCTTCTTCTACAACTACCTCGTCCTCGCCATGGCCCTGCTCGCCGTCTTCGCAGTGTTTCACCCCGTTAGGGCCGTGCTGCTCGCTGCTACGGTTGCGGTCGCCGCCGTGCTTTACATCCTCTTTCCCGAGGATTATCAGGTTACAGATAATATCGTCATCTCCATGCCGATCAAGCATGCTGTTATGGCCGTCCTTACCGTTCTGGTCCTTGTGGTCGGGCATGTCTTTGCGCTGCTGTTCTGGGTCGCCGTCACGTTCGCGCCTATTGTGCTCGTGCATGCTTTCCTACGCCAACACTCCGCCGCTCCGGCTGACGCTAACATTTAACTGGCTGCACCTGTTTTCGCCGCCCGTGCTTGCTGTTCAGTTGTATCATCACCAAATCTCGCGTATATGCCTAATCGGCAGTGCCCAAGTCGTAGTGCCAACGTGTCTTTTCGACCCTGCATAAACTGTTTTTTCTTTGGTTGTTCTAAACGCTGCACCACACATTCACGCACCATGCAAACTCACAAACAGAAAAAGAAACCTTTACTTCATTGCCAATTCACAGGCCCGTCTACCTGTCCAGACACCATTCTAACCCGGCCAGATGGACGGGGCTTTCGACTGTAATCGCGAACGGAAGCGGTTGAGAGCGGAGCCGCACCGGCAACGCGGCCGGCGTGCGGTCCTCCACTCGCCAGCTGTGCTCAGTCTCTGCGGGACTGGGGTTGTCTGGAATGAGGGCGAGGTTGAGCGGCGCAGGGCGCGCAGGCCTCGAAAACGGCCTGCGCTTAGCCTCTGCAGAAGAAGTGGCGGACGAGGGTTGCCGCCAGTCCCGGTTCATAGCGGGGGGGAAGTCGAGCGAAGGGGGAGAAGGAGGAGAGTCACGGGGATTCTGCAGGGAAGGTGGAGAGTAGCAGAGGTGAGGCGAGATGCCGGGAGGGAGAGAGGCTATGCCGCTGAATGTGTAGAAGAAGAGTTTTTTAAACAGGGGCAGCGATGGATCGCGGCACCGGAGCTTGGGAGCGGCTGGGGTGGGATGCCGTTTTGGGTGCGGAGGCCGTGGCGGTGGTTAGAGAAGTTTCTCTAGCTACGACTGCTGCAGGGAGGAATGATGCCATTCCAAGCCTTTCATCTACTGTACACCACAGTGCTGTACCCGAAGCTGCTCACTTCAGAGCCAGCCACGGGAAACTGTCTACTGTAGTTGGAAATAGTATTTTTCTTTTTATTTATTGCAATGTTGGCTTCTGTAAGATGCGTCAGGCGCTTTGCTATGCCATTGGAATGGATATCTGCGGTGCGGCACTGGCGCACACTACCTGAATTAAAAGCACATCCAACCGCAAACGTATGCGGGCAAGTGTGCGGTTTGCTTTGAAGTGTCACTTTCTACCAAGTTTGACAATTTTTTGACTGAAGAAGAACCAGCAGTCAACTCGTTCTGCTCAGCCATGAAACGTCTATCCATGAAACGTCTATCCATGTAACTGGTTCCATATCGAAGAAGCGCCTCCAAGTCGCATGTACGGTAATGCCAGCTTTTAGGGAGACCCTCTGGTGTGCAGCAGTTGACACAGCAAAAGGACAGGTGGTCCTCTGAGTCATCACGCACGAGAAAAATGTCACAAAGGTCTCATACAGTACGAGGGCTACAGAGAACTTACACGTATTATGGTTTCGCATTGTAGATAGTTTTGATGGCTGTCAGATGTGTTTCGAAAGCTGCCTTTCGCGAGTTTGGCCAGAGAGATGCCGTACTGGGAAACATGATCTAATCACAAAAGAAACAGTCTAGTTCAGTTTCTCACCCAAAGAGGCTTACCCGAGACAAAACGCAACTCGGCGACGTAACGGTGGCAGTTATCCAGCGAGGAGAGCAATAATAGGACAACAATAGCGGCAGCTTCTATACATGAATTTTATGTCCTTTCCACCCGACTGTTTCGCAATACACGAGTCTAGACCAATGAACCGAAATGAAGAAAAGAGTGAACGCTTTAGTGCACTGCCATCATCCATTTTGGGTAGAAGACTTTTGCCGTTTATCGGGCCGCTCATCAGTTGATGAAGTTCGTTGTGGAGGCCGTCGATTTCCAAGCTGCCGCTCGTTTTGCGGTTTCACGCTTTCTGCCCTTGAGTTGTTTGCAATATTTCCCACAATATTTTGATCCGTCAACCCCTGTGACGTTCCTACAAAATTTCCATGATTGCCTCCACCGCCTCCGTTGTGTCGAGCCTCTATGATGGCCCCCTGTTTCGACTTTGCCGAGTTTACCCGCTGCAAATGAATTGCCCGGACGCTTCCACGCCCTTTCATCCCTTGTCCAGCTGCCGCAGCTCGCCCTCTGACAGATCCCGCCGCACGCGATCCCGTACTGCCTCGACCTCGCCGTGGCTGCTGCTCTGACTCTTGGCCGGACTGGTTTGTTTGGGGACTAAAGATCTTTAAACCGGGTGGGGCATTGTGTCCTTGCACGCTTGCACGTTGGCCTGCGGTACTGTCCTGCCTACCCGAGAAGTTCCCTTGCGGTGCGCTCAGAAGCTGAAGATTGCGCTCTAGATCTTCTCCGCCCCCCACATTACCTCCCATTCCATGTCCATTTGGTGCGGACATTCCCCATGAACCCTGCCCCGAGGCTACAGCATTTACTGCGTCAATTACGTTGCCGTGCCGTGTTTGAGATATTCTTCCGTCAGCGACCCCTGAAGCAGCCTTTCTCGGCTTTAGATTTAGGTCTCCGTGATTGTGACCACCGCTGCTAGGAACATTCTGAGCGTTTCCAGCCATGTACGGTTGCCTCATCGCCTCATGAAAGGACATCATTGCCTGTGATGGATCCGATCTCAAAGCGTTCAGCGGTTCTCCGAGGTTTGGCACAATGTTACTTTCGCCCTGGAGGTCCCCTTTAAGGTCCATGTTTAGGTCTCCAGAGAGCCGTGCCCCTGCCGCGGTTTCTCCACTTTGCATTGGTATTCCTAGACTTCCCCCTCGGCTTTGCCCTAATTGACTCCCTTCGACAACGGAACTTAATGTCTTGAACGCATTTCCGTTCTGAACAGCTGGCGCAACAGGGCGATTTTTCACAGGGACCTCTCGCTTTATACTTGGAGAAATTAAGCTGTGTAGACCTTGCATGCGCTGCGGATTCGACAAAAGTGATGTAATCTCATCGTTCATGCGATCTTTGAGCTGATGGATGTCAGTAGCGATGTATAACATTCGGACCACAGCGACTGGCATTCCTAGATCCATTCGAGGCCGCAGGTTGCTCGCAGCATGAACATGTGTGCGGGTGAACATTTCGGTGTGCTGTTTTGTATTAAACTGCCACACTGCGATCTTTCTGTCTCCTTGAAAAGTGACTCTGAGATATCCATCAGTGTATATTGTGCGATCCGGATATGCAGAAATTATCAATGTCCGTGGACAGTGGACTTCTACAGCTCCGTTGGGATACTGAAACTCGCACGGGTTCTCTAAAAGCATGCGTTCTTCCTTCAACCCGGCATCAACCTTTGCTTTCCACAATCGTGGCATTAGCTCCACCGGAACTTTCACGCTTCGAGGGACTAGAATTTCATTCTGCTTCAGATCGATGTGGAGCGTAGCTTCGGGGATAAAGAAGCTCGGGATTAGAGTTTTCCAATGGGCTTCGTATGAACCCTCAAGCATACCTTGCTGGCGCAATTTGTTCAACTCTATTATACGCTGGACGTATTTTCCAACTCCTAATGGTCTGGCATGTTTTCTCCGGGCCGCATAAGTCTCTGGTGGAGCTGAAGTCGTAATTCCAAGCTCGTCAGCGACTTCAAAGGCTTGTGGGGAGAAATTAGATCCATTGGAGGCGGTGTGGGGCTCCCACGGCTGCTGCTGATAAGAGGAAGTATTTTGAGATCGGTGGATTTTTCCGCGTTGGTCTACGTGATTGGGGTTTGGGCGGGTCTGAATCGGAGTGTCAAAATCCAGGTGAGCGGTGTCGAGGAAAAACTTATCATTTGTGATTGGCTCGCTTTCAAGGTTGGATAAACTCGCTGTAGCCGCGTCAACGATGGAGAGGCTGGGGTCGTTGGACTGGGGTTGAGGGCTTGGGCGGCGCAAGCCTCCCATCGGATGGAGGGCGTTTTGGTTGCTTTGAAACGCCAGTTGATCGAGAGGTGTGACGGGCCAGGGATTAGCATTGAGCGGTTGGTTGGGGGAAGGGTGGTGTGTGGGGTTGCTGGGTGCAGGTTCGGATCCATAGAACGACATTAGACGGCGTTGGCTGCAATGTTAACGCGCAGTATGTGAAACATGCTGCGTCGCGGCTGGCTTGTAGGCGAACCCCAGGAGCTAGACTAGCAGACGGGTCGCAAGCGTTGACTGCGAATGCTGATACCTTAGTGCGAGTCCAGACGGTAATTGGTTAGTTGCGTGCGAAGAAATGGGTGTATGGCATTGAATCGGGAAGGGGTACAAGGCGTGAGGCGGGGTGGCGGTTTGGTGGTATCGTTACAAAAGGAGACGGAGACTGGTAGCTGTCGGGGTGTCGGGGGCAACCTACGCCCGAGAGGAACGCAGAGTGGGGTATTGTGGGTTTGAAGGGGCAAGAACGGGGAGAAAGGGGGTGCAGGGGACGGGGGGTGGGGGGGGGGGGCCTCAAAAGGGGTCGGGATGAGGGCAGAGCGAAAGATGTGAGAAAGCCGGGCTAGAGATGTGTATCCCTGCTAACTGGACGCTCGGGCGTGTCTGTATTCGGTGCTCTATGAACGATTGAGGGCCTCGAGCGGAACAAGTGAAATTGGACCAATCGGTTCGGCTCATCGCATCAAGGTCATGGCAGTATTTTGAGAATTCTTTCCAATTTCTGTACCGCATACTGCGACGTGGATAAAACTCAATGCCAACGCTACTCCGCCATCCCCACTCTACGTCCTACTGGACTGCACGCCATCTCTAAACAGACTAAACATCCCGCAATACTGAAACTACTACAAGACTGCAAGGATACCGTTAAGTCTTTCACCTCTACTGCTCACCAGAACAAATATTCAGTCCTACAAATTTGCTTCGCAAAGGCACTCTCCAAGGTTGAACCAAAATTGGATACACTCCGCGTCACGTGCTTTTCGCATCTACAGTACTCGCTCTGCATCTCATGGCAAGCACCTAAGTACCTACCCATACCAGCAACCTATTCCATCCTACTCCCCACCGCACATACTGTTGTAATCGGGCACACGCTTGCCCCCGTTCAGCGCCCCGCTTCCAAATTCACTTATTCCATGACAAGAGCCAACCCAAATTTGTGTGACGGCTTGTCCAAGTGGCGAGCATCGAACTGAGAGCATAGCGTCAACGTTGTGCTCTTGCGAATTTCCTGAATGTAGCTCAGGGAAACTGCCCCGGCCGAGTCGATCTTCATCTTCACTGTTGTCTCCGGGTCCACCTCATACTTGGTCCCCATGGTAAGCTTCTTCGTATCCGCACTGATGTTATACTCAAACTCCGCTGCCACTGAGAAATCGTCAGAAACAAGATGCGAGTACGCAAACTTGGCCATCGAGCGGTTGTTCAGTAGGTAGCAAGTCGCCTCATGTTCCTTTCCATTGCTGTAGTTGAGCACGCCATCAACATTCTTCAACTGCTTGTCCTCAATATTGAAGTCGCCCTTGACCCCTGCCGTGACGCCATGCAACCCAACGGCCGCAGCCGTGCTGATCGATTGGCTACCAAGGCAGTTGACAGCGGTGACGACAGACATATGGGGATGCACATACTCGGTCGTGGCCAAGAGGGACTGCTTTTGGCCGAGACCGCCGAGGGCTGTGAACTTCAACCCTTTCACACCGGTCTTATCGAGCTCGACTTTGTGGCTGAGGCGGCCGGAGGTGAAAATTTCCGTCGTCATCGTGGTGCCGGACACGTTGTACTTGCAGCTAAGATCACCCGACAGCCCATCCTTAACGTCTTGGCTTTGCTTCGCTTTCGTAGTGTACGTGATGCCATTGGTGGTCTTTGTTTTGATCTCCACCTTCTTATCGCCATAGATGTAGTCATCATTCAGCAACTCTGTGTCATTCGTGATTGAGAGTAATCACGCACAAGCGAGAGCAGGGATGCAAGGGAAGGCCGCGGGAATCGTTGAGTCCGTCAAGTTAGTAGCTGGAAATGGGATACATCTGCCCGAATTCGATCACGCTGCAACACGATCCTCGCTTGCTTTCGATATCAATACAATTCGCAAAACCGGCATGCGCGACGATGAATGCTTTTTCCTCTCTATGCAAAACCGCGCCGTTGGGCTACCACCGTCGGTATTCCATCTCCCCGCAATTGTGATTTGAGGCAAGCTAGTGAGTCGCGCATTGCGCTGAGAAGACAAAACAAGAGAAGGATTTGACGTACTCTTTGCGGTCTTTCCGAGATCCTTGTAAAGCTTGACCATGATGTGTGAAATGCTGGGAAGCGAAAGGGAAGATCAGCCAAGCAACGAAAAGAAGTAAGAGGAATCGGGCGGACGAGCGACGTGATTGTGATCGGGGAGGGAGCTGAGCACGACAGAGGTGGGATAAGGCCGGGACATGAGGAGATGAGGTGCTTCGTCGGCCATTTCTATTGCATTTGTTGATTTTTCCAGGCGCGCCCAGTCACACTCGATCCATGCCCAAGATCGCCGCCTTTTGGGCGCGTGCCACCGCCACCAATCACATCGCGGAGTGAGTGGCGCCAATCTTGTTCCTCTACACGTGGATCCCGATTGCACTATCACGTAGAATTCCTCAGCTTTTCTCTGCACCACTTGTTCGCCCATCTCAATTTTAATGGGAAAAGCCTCCGTAAATAGACGGCGAGTTCTCTTCTGCGGGACAGTCGCATCAAAGTCCGGACGATTCTGAATTGGCACCAACACTCTCCGCATTCCTCTCCGCATTCTTCGCCGCATTGCAAGAGTATCGTAGGGGTGCAGAACGAGACCTTTACCGGGAAGAAAGGAACCTTTTGTTGAAGTGTAAGCGGGTCGGTATAAGTAATATCACTGAGCCCCCGCTCTTACATCCGGCCACACTAAGTTGACATGTACCCGATCCCATCCCGAACTCGGAAGTCAAGCCGCTTCAGGCCAGGCCAGTACTGAGGTGAGGGATCACTCGGGAATCCCTGGTGCCGGATGCCTTTTGCATTTTTCCGCTTAGTCTGCGTCATGCAGCGCAGGGGTCGGGTAGGAAGAGACGTGTCAGCAGTATTTCTATTCCTGGTTTATCGATGGAGTGCGTGCCGTCCCTCATGGAGTCTTATAGAGTCCCCCACCTTTTAAACCGTGTGCACAGTGCGCCTGTAGCGGTGTGGCGAGCACCAGTAGTGTTCCGTATCTACCTGGGTAGGGGCCGCACAGGGGTGGGAAGGCGATATTCTTCTCGTGACATGTTCGCGTCATCAGGCTTGGCATGCGGATAGTAGTGTCAGCAACAACCATGCCTACAGTACACGCAGCATTTGTGCTTGCGAAGGCCACAACAAAATTCCTGATCAAAAAGGTACCAAAATTCACAGTAACGCAGCTATTCCATTTCGCTCGACTTTTTCCATCTTTCGCTGCTCAGTAGTCAACTCGCTTTCTATGTTGTCAGTTTTCTTTTTGCTTCCAAAGTACCACACATCAATGCCACCGTAGTTCAAGAAAACCTAACAATTTCCTGCTTACGCGACATTGTGTTGGAAGCGACTGGTGCAGCTGTCGCTGGCAAAAATCATGGGCCGCGCATTTCTTGCTATCGTAGTGCCATTTTTTATATAGGAACTCACGAGCGGACGGTCGCAAGTAATTCTTTTGGGAAAATTGGATGGAAGGCACTGTTTTGAAAGGAACTGGGTCTTTGCGTCTCTCTTCGCAAAGGCACATCAATGGCGCTGTACATTGCAGTAGTGAATGCATCGTGGTCATACTGTAGTTCTGATTGATTCGCCTTGCAATTCGCCGCGTAAACTTTACCCACAGTTGACCTCAATTCCCAGACCTGCAGTTTAGGCATTGTACTGTACCCTTGGGTACCACTGTTCTCGTTGTGGTGACGAGCATTGTAGTACTGTACCTCCGCACAAGGTTCTGTTGCCCCGTCCGTGATGCTTTGCATCTTGGACGGTGCTGTTAAGAGTAGAAACCATCGTGCACAATTGCTCTGCTCGTCCTTGCAGTTCATGTTGATCTCAAGATTAAAACACTCTAGGCGCCTACCTTGAGAGGTAGCCTGTGCAGGCTCAGGTAAGGCGTTCTAAATTTTCTCAAGATCAACGGAGGCCGCATGCAGTATCCTTTTTTAACACAGCAACTGAAGTGTAGAACATCTCAGAGCTACTTGTGAAGCTACCCTTCAGGGTACTTTGCGGCAGGTCCTTATCAGTGCTGTCGTGGAGTAGATCTCATCTACTCAATACATGCAGTTTTGGTATGTTTTGTTTGCCTAATTTATGAACGTAGATCTCTCGATCTTTCCGACCTTTGCTTCATGCTACCAAAGCAGGACGATTATGACGTAAACTTTTCTTGTGTACCCTTCGAAGGGTAACTCCAGACAGCGAACTTGAGATCATTGAGATAACAAAACACCACCCGGAACCCTTGGTAAATTACGGCACTTGATATTGTGTGAAAGACAGTGCCAGGGGAATGGTGACGATACCGTCAAAGATTTATTTTCAAAACACCCGACCAAGAATGGTAAGCTCCAACTCAACATTGGGGTTTCCTATGGGATCAAGGATTATCTCCTGTCCAGCCCTGCTGCCTTGTTTTCAAATACTGTTCTGTACATAGTACACGCCCAGTGGGGCCAGTGCAGTCCCATGCATAGACCCTCTCAACAACGTTTCCGGGCCGCATCCCGGAATGGCTTCGTATGGTATGACCTATGGGTCGCACGTGAATGTGAAACACGCAGTGAAGTCCCAAAGAAGTCTTTGCTCTTCGTGGCAAATGCACCCGTAAATGAGGGTCTTTGATGACCAGCTCTGCTCTTCATACACTACAAAAACTTTCGGGCCCCTGAGGGAGCATGTCATTTTGTTCTTTTCAGCTCGATCATCTGCACCTCCGTATTTTGTAAGTTTTCTAGCGATGTTTGCAGCATGCAAATTCACTCGGCCTAATTCCAGTGCAGCAGACAAGATGCACACAGCATCGTGTGCGTGTGTTTTCTACACTTCAGGCACTCTCTGGTGTCTAAAAGTACGACAAGCGATTTGCCTCAATTGAGCAATATGGGAAAATTCATATGAGCTCAGGCATGGCTATGCCGGCCTCATATGAGACCAGCTTTTTATTGCAAAATATGTATACTTTAAATCAAAACTTTATAAAGTCAGTTTGGACACTATTTCTTTAACGTACATGCCCTCGGCAATAGCTTCTTCCAGAACATTGGGATAGCAGTTGTGAATACACAGAAAGACTAAGAATCCAGTGAACTTTCAAGACCAGGTGGACATTTTAAACACGCATTTTGGTTTCGAAGATATCAACACATAACGTTTTGAGGTTGGTCAAAAAGGCTTCTTGTTTAGGCATTCTAAAAATGACTGGAGAAGATGTGCAGATCTCACCAAACTCCATCCTTCCGCAACGCAGAAGTCAACTGCGGTGGCGAAAGTATCTTTTTCCTTCTTGTTGAGCAAGCACAAGTCGAGAAAAGCAAGTTGGAAAATAGCCTCACATGAGGTCACTTGTTGTCTAGAATTTGATTCGAACACACCTGGCCTCGGGCCTCGCTTCATGGGAGACCACATAAAGTAGGAATGCTTTTTTAGAACCGGGCCTAAATGTCATACAGTGCCCATGTTGCGTGAAGATAATTTGCTCAAGTGACTGCTGTAATTGCAAGCAAACACTTTTCTATCGTTCAGGGCGATACAATACTGTACCCTTCTTCAAGAACGCATTCTTTGATAAACTGCTCCTTGTACATAGTCATGTCGCATATCTTCACACTCTTATTTGGGGCGGCCACTGGTTGAGCTCAGGGCCCAGTGAAGCATCTCCACCGTTCTTCACTGTGAAGGAATTCGTAACCCATGTTCTGTGGTTGCGGTCGGTTCACTATCGCGACTGCTGGTACTATGCGAAATCTCCCCAGGACGGCGGCAAACTTCTTTTCCCTCTGCTATGCTCCATGATATCGAGAAGCATCGAGTGCGAATGACGTCTGCCAACACTGTCTTTTCGACCAGGCCAAAAAGAAGATGGATGCCTTGTTATCTTTGTCCATGAGGACGGGCCCGACGCCAAACCCCACAGCTTTTTCTGATCTTGTATAATCGAATGGCCTCTAGTAACTATTGACAGTTTTCGGAACAAGGATTAGCATTCGAACGATGAACCCACCCGTTATCGGCAGAACGGAAGAGGGAATGTTCCATGTAACGAACGGTTTGGCACCAAACTAGTACGGCGCGGCTGACAACGGACGTAGAAGTTGGACGGATGCATGCTAGATCTGCATACGTACAGGACATATACTGCACAATA